ATATATCTGAGCCGCACTGTAAGCGACAATGTTTTTTGCAATGTATATCTCCATAATGCTATAGTAAACGAACATGGGTGTGGGACAAGACATGATACAGATCTATTATAGCAATGTTTATAGCATAATGCTTCATGACGCTATATGCACAAATTACTCAGAATAAAACTTTACAAGAAAAATTAACCATTTCAAGCGCGCTGCGAGGCACTCTAGAGTAAACGCATACGTCGTTTTCAGTCATACATAAAAATACAACGTCTAGCGACGAGTTAGCGCAAGACACAACAAATTTTACTTTTTAATTATAAGACAGACACTGATTTGTAATAAATATATTGAATTTCTATTGAAATTAACGGGTGCACATAATATTAGGATCTACACTATGGAATGTACTTTATCTGTAGTCATTACTTTTTGTTCCGAGGGGTAGTTGCCATGGAATATAGTAACAACAGAGCTGTACCTATCGTGAACATTATATCTTGATGAGTATGCGGCGCCTGTACTACCGCAGTTATACACCGTGAGGCACGAAGTAGAATTTCCGTTTCTGCATGAAGCATAGTACAGAATACTTCTTTACGGAAAGAAACCGCATTACTACAGAACACATGTAATCTACGGCCGGCAAAATCAAGCTTTATGGTTGATATATTCCAGAGTACATAGCCTTAAGAACAGCTGTGGGTGCGTCCTTTTACCAGCTGAGTAGCAGCTAGGAGAAAATGAATCCCTTCTGCGAATTTGCCTTTTTAAAGCGACAACTTACGCCTAATCCACCGATCAGTCCCGGTAAATGAGGCACATTGCTCAAGTGATCCGAGAAGCGCGCGGGGTGGCTGCTCCACTGAAGGCTTTTACCCCAGCAACTTACCATTGACTCAAGCGCGCACCCAGACCAGAGAATGGCAGGGTCTTACCATTCCATCAAACAGTTTCCAATTTCACAAAATAGAAGAAAGGCACAGAAAACCACCCAAACCCACAACGAGCAATATTTCACATGTTTTGTCACAACATCTTCAGCCACACTGTCACACGAAGACACCACCTGAAACATTTTCAACTGACAAAATCACCTCATAGCAAACGCTTTAGAGGTAAAATCTGATCGCGATTTTCAATTTCGTGAAAATACCAAACACGCTCATGTGTATTGTGATCTCTGCTGGGTATTTACGGTCACGAGAGGGCGTTGAACAGTCGTGAGCGGGAAAAAATTTGAATCGGCTAATGGCGCCAAATAGCGACGTTATTAAATCTACAACGAGCACCGTACACCGTACACCAATCAGGATCTGTTTCGCTGCTTCGATGAATTTGCCTCGCTGAATCTTGGTTATAGATATCATTGCAGAACTGCCGGCTAAGGACCCAATAAACGCTACATAAAATTTTTCTTAGTACAACTATGAGTAAGTAGCTGAGTAATAATATAATAGGTACTGAAAGAGTCACCGCTAGAGGCTCGCGAGAAACAGGCTTCCTGAAACAGAGAAAGCTGTTCGCTACCTCTTAGTAAATTTACATTTTCCGAAATGTATAATAGTGGCCTTTCAAAATTAACAAGAAGACATTAGACAAATGTCACGAATAAGAACACTGGACTTATAACTCTTTTTTAACGCCTTATTATCCTTTAAAACTTGCAACTATAGCTTAATGTAACTAAATAAAAATATTTTTTAATATTTACAAGTTTAGCTACCATTTTTGTTTCGTTATCGCCTGCTATTTTCGTTATCATCTAGTCACAGGCTATTCCTGATACGTCGCTAACTCCTCGAAGCATTATTTATCAGCTGCATTTACAGCAAAGTTAATTGCTTTACAATTGCTCTGCATTATGTGTTTCGAATCTTACGTGTATGAAAAACACTGATGGATATTGCAAAAACAAAGAATGTTTGCTTTAGTCTCCGCTTTCAATAAAGGACGTTTTTTTCTATCGCATTATGTAGGCAAACCACAGATTACACTATCTCCACAATATACAGCTATGTTATATAGTTGATCGCTCCCGCAACAGCACAGTGTGGACACGCATTCAAAAAATACACTGTGATAGTATTTTATAATGAACCTTAATTAACGTACACTTGGCTTTATCTTGTATCCTGTATCGAACACAGCGGTGCTCACATCTGACGGGAGCTAGCAATATACAGTACTATGTCACCTCCAAAAAAATGAACGTCATACGACTTATGCGGGACATTTACTTCATTATAAAAATTTAATTTCCTATGCAAGATGCCACTTTCACTATTTAAATCTCCTTTTTTTCATTGTTTTTTTGGTAAAACCGTTTTCTACTGGTAATATCCACTGTCTTAACAAATAGACTTCCAAGCTGCTTTCATAGCAATTGCTATCAACAGTCGTACTATCGAGAAAAACACTATATTTCACCCCGCCACTCACTACTAAACGAATCAGCCGTATTATTGATGTGTACTATTGCGGTGGTTTTTTAATAAAAGCCGAGTATTTTATTGAGCTTTATTCTTATATTTGTTCTTTCCGAAGATTATTGAGTAATCCCGATCAAGACAATATCTATCTATTTGTGTATGCAGTTCCCCTGTGATAATGGTGCTGCGCGTTCATCTAGTTCAGTATTCTTTTTTATTCATTTATTTATTTCCAAGTTGTGGGCATCTGCGTTTCAGTTAAAATCAGTATTATTTGAAAAAAAAAGATTAAACAGTATGAGGCGCAAAAAAGGAGAAAATATCTAAAAACGAAGCAAATCATTATCACTTGCTTTTTTGTGTACTCTATCACTGTGTCATCATTTTTATTTTGTAAATATGGCCACGAATAAGCATCACATTTCAAATACCATATAATTCAAAGACTAACCAGATTGCATTGAGCAATTTGTTCTACGAAAAAAAATATCTGCTGCGTTCAAAGAGCCCATTGGGCACACTTGGTATGGCTTTACAGATCACAGGTCGATTTTCTCTTTCCATATAATCTTAGAAATCTTCTACGTTCGATTCAAAATATCGTAAGGATATACCACGCTTCGTTTATTATTGGTTATTTAAAATACCCGCGCATGGGCTTGGGGCACATCTGTGGTACGGCCGTGAGACGTTTTTGGAACTTTGAGCTGGTATCAAATGGCCGCCATATTGGAGGTTGTTCGCCTAATCAGTCTAAAACTTTGTATTGTTCACAAGCAGGCTTGCAGCGAGCTCCTAAGCGAGCAAGCAAGCAAGCGTGTTTGTGAGGTGCGTGTCGTGGTGGCCGCGAGTAGTGCGTCACTTCTAGTGGCCGTGTTGAATCAGAAGATTATTATCATCGTGTGAAAAGTTCGTTCTCTTCATCGCAAGGAAAATAACTGCTTCGCGAATAGGCGTGGCCCTTGTGGCCGTTGCTTCGTCAATCTTGTATTGTTCACTATCGAATATTAATAATACGTTGCCTGCAACAATTGGCGTAGATTTACGATTGCTTGGCCATTACCTATGTTAGCCCCCTCTTACCCGATTTGGCCTATACCACTTACGCAAAGATATACGTAGACAGACACAGACGCACTCACACATACACACATGCACACATACACAGATACAGACACAAGGACTTCGCCGAAATCAGCAAGACAGCAGTGAAACTAAATAAACGTAATTAACTCTGATACTGAATTTTGGATATGAGACGAAGTGAAACAGTATACCGCTGTATGTAGTTTCGACTAGCGTATGCCGAACAGGAGGAAAACTTGGTCTTCCATCTGAATTAAACGTGGCTTTCTGTTTAACAGAACCTCGTTGCAACAACCGAGTACTACTGCATCGTTCATAGCTGAGGAAGATCGGGAGTTTTGAGGTACGCCGTTTGTGTGTGAGTGTGTATGTATGAGGTACACGTTTTTTGTTGTTATAACACCGTTGGTGTATAAGTGTGTATGGGAGGTTGAATATTAGTGAATAGTGAGCAGTTAGGAATCGGCACTTTGTAAGAAACGAGTGGACGGCGACATAAAACAAAATGGAAGACTCCGTGAATGACTACGCGTCGTCTCTGCATGACCTCACAACGAACTCGAAGCCACTCATCACAATGTTAACGATGTTAGCCGATGATAATCGGCAATACGCTGAAAGCATCGTCGCCGTCATCGAAGACTACCTTAAACGGGTGAGTGGAGCCTGCTTGTTATTGTTATTGTTACACCACTGAGAAGCCCATTAGCAAGTTAGACCAGGTCATTGGCCGAAAGTGAAGGACAAAGAGACGGAACGTCTCCTTCATGCCAATCATGATCGATGGATAGAGATAGAATGAACTGAGTACAACCTACTACATGTAACATTAAGCCCGCACATGTTCTGAAACCACTATGGGCGATAAGATTGTCCGCATTTTTAGGTTAAACCTCGTTTTGTCGTATAAAACGACATTGCAGGTTTTACTCCATTGTGACCAATTTATTTGATGATTAAATATATATTCGGTCAAGCTGCGTATTTTCTATCCGATTTCTATCTATTTTCTCCGACGAAGTCTGTTAGGTTTCGTCATTTTGGTCCAAGTGCATTTCGTGACTCGTATGTAGAGTTTGTTGCATCTTATCGCTTGGCTTGTCTGGACAGTGACTCGTCTCATGCGATCTCTGCCGTGCTTTAGGGATTGCAATATAAAGCACCGAATATTTGCACCGAAGCAGCATTTATACTTGTTATACGTAGTATTAAAGTAACTCTAGCATTAGGTATAGTTTTAATACTTTGTTACGAAAGTACTGGCAGTGTTAAAATCTGCTGTACGCAGCACATGGTTATGAACCACTGCAATTACCTTTGCATAACATGACGAAAGCTCTCATCGGGATCATCTCAAGAGGGTCGCTCTCACTTTTATATCCAATACCTATTTGACCACACGCTTGTAAAGCCGAGTACTTTCGACTTTCAATAGTCAGTCCTCGTTGACACGTAGATGCTGCTGTTGCCCTGCCTGTAATGCTCTTCTCTTTTAACAATTCTCTTATTGATCAATAGTAAAGCATTGCATACGTGCACTTGTGACCGGATATTTCACGGCGATGTATTGATCTCTGCGCATATATATTCTTTTGGCCTGAACTAGGGGACTCGATATCATGGGTTCCTATGGGTTCTGATGGACTTCTGTTGGCACCTTTTTGTTCACTGCGATTTTCATCTGTATAGGTATTTCTGATTTATAAATAATGTAATACATAATTAAGAACGAGTATTCTGGTGGGAACTGGTGTCAAACTATATGTTGCAGTATTAAGCATATACGTAGTCCTATTGAAAATCTTAACACGTGTTGCTCCTTAACGTGCTTATTTAGTTGACGTGCGCGTGTGATCTAGGCAAGAAAATGGAGAAGATCGGTAAAAATATCATTATTAAACTTAGGTCTGGCGTAAACGTAATCATTGTATTATATAGCACAAATGATTTTTTTTCCATTGACCGGAGTTTGGGCTACTGCTGTTAAAGGATAAAAACGCATGCACGATTTAATTGAGTGTTCCATATTAGGGCATACTTAATAAAATTAATCTACACTACATAATACAATACTAATAAGCAAATATTAAAAGTGAAAAGAACAGCTTCTGCATCAAGGTTAGTGAATTTTAGACAAAATAATGCTTATAACAGTAAATATAGTTTTAGAATAATAACGTCTCTTGCATTCTCTCTATTTTACAGAGTTGTGCCAAAATCAAGCTTCCGACGTTGTACTTAATAGATTCTATCATCAAAAATGTTGGAGAACCGTACAAAAAGCTGTTCATAGAAAATATCATCAAAATTTTTCTAGACGTATTTCAAGAGGTGAGTCTCATTTTTATTATGCTGTTAGGTTATGTACGCTTTATAATTACTATAAATCAATTCATGATTTTACGAATTTGTCAAATCTTAAGTATATATTTTTAGCCAACGAGTATAAATCTAAATTAGGGGAGCTATTGCAACTAACATGCTTTTAAGTATTTCGTTTTCCGTCTCCTCCGTGTATTTTTGTGTCTCGTGTTGTCTGATCATGATTATACACAGGGTGACGAGAAAACTCGCTCTGCATTGTACAAGCTCCGGCAAACGTGGAAAGGGCTGCTTCCAGACGGCAAGCTTTATATGATTGATGCTCTTACAAAGGGGATCGACCCCAATTGGCCAATTTGTCCTACATTGGAGCATTTGGCCAACAATATTCACCTAAACCCGAAATTCTTCGGAAGGCAGCCGCCTATTATTGAGGTAAAAATAAGCCAAGTGTTCATATCTTTATTGTAGATACGCAGTCTTAAACCAGCCAAGTTAAACTAGAGGTTTCTTTTTGGCGGTAGAGGTTTTGAGAATAAAATATTATATTCTTTAACGGAAAAGCTATCTTTTAACTCTGTTAGGAGTTACGAGATAGTTTTTCCGAAGGACTAAATGACTAATATCCGTTTCCGTGTATATGTGCCTTCTTGATCATTGTTATTTAGATACATGAAACTGAAACGAGTCACAAAGACAAGGTTACCACCGTCAAGGAGGCTGTCGCGTCAGCAGAGCAGAAGATGGTTGACGTGAGTAAACAACGACATCCTCGAGCAGCACCTGACGGTCAAACTATTTCTTTAGATCGCGAATCCGGTGAAAACCTTCGCATAACTGAGCTCTCGGCCAATCGATCGGATCAACGCAGGACCGACCCTCGGCTCAAACGAAGACAACAGCAACCGATGCAGCTGTTCGAGCAACAGTTATTACAACCTGACGTTGTAATGGCAGAGAAGGCTAAAAACTCAGATCTGTTTAGTGGCAAGGAAAGTTTAAGTGGTACTGCAAGTAGTAGCGGAAAAGCAAGTGACAAGAAGTCGTCGATAAAGCGAACCCGTAGTAGTGAAAAAGAACAGCAAAGGGTTAACGGCAAACGGCAGACGAGCGATAGTCATAGTGGCAGTAGTAAAGAGCGGACTACGTCATCGAAGTCCAACAAAGATAAAACAAGTTCTTTTTCACCAGAAGACAGAAAATCGTCACGGAGCGCTGCGGGTGGAGGAAATTGTAAAAAGTCTTCAAAATCATCTTCCTCCTCATCAACGTCATCTTCCTCTTCATCACGTGTTGCCACAAAGACTGTCGCAAGTCAGTTGCAAGCCCCAAGCAATAAATCGCCAACTAAGTCTGCCGGAGAGACCCCTACCGGTCTCCGTGGAGGACCATCACTCGCCGACAAAGAAGCAGCTGCTATTCTAACTGGAGATGTCGATCTTAGGTAAGTGCAATTTAAACTATGGCTGTTCTCATATAAGACAAAAATATCTAAGATTGTTTTCTTACCTTTTGATTATGGTGAGGTTGGACCAATGATTTCTACTAGTATAGTTTAATTCTGATGAAAGATGCATTTGAATTTTGAACCATTACGCTTTCACGCTTTCACGTTTCAGAATATTGGAGCCTCATGCTAAGAAGCCGAAAACGGAAACTACTGTAGTACCCGAGCCTGTCGCTCCCTTAGAATTATTCCCCAAAGGAGACATTGATCTGCGGATCCGACCCACAGGAGGTGTAAGCGATCCTGGACAACCCCTAGTTTCATCATCGACAGCCACCGACCGAAATGTCGGTGAGCAACAGGGCTCAACTCATCAAGGCATTATCAAAAACAATGTTGACGAAGACGAAGAAGAAGAGTTTGATAAAGAAGCGCAGTGGGCCAAACTAAAGGGACGACCTGTTAGAAATCCCACAATGGCCACAATCCAAGAGCGTGGTACAAGGAAGGATACCACTAGCGAAGATAGGGGGAACGTTGCCACTTCTTCTACAAACTCTCATGCAACTGGTAAGTTAAAGAATTAGCTCGATTAGCGAAATATCTAGGAAATAGCCAAATTTTTTATGCGTACGTATTAATGGCTGGATAACACGGTCGACACTGTTTGTTACATACGCATCAGGACATGTACAATTGATATACACTCAGTGTAATTCATGTGTAAATTTTACAGTTCCAGCTGTTAGTGAGCTTGTTCGGGCAGGAGCAACTGAGTCAGGGGTGGCAGCCTCAGGTTTACGACCTCCAGCCCATATGCCTGGCTCGCAAGGAGCTCGTATACCGATGACTGTACTACCCATCGTGGACGTCACCCCAAAACAGAACGCTATTCCAGACCTCTTCCCACCTGGACGCAGTCGAGCTCACATAAAGAGTAGGTTTGAGATTACCGCGATCATTTATAATGTAATGGAATTTCATGAATAATGGACCAGGTTCTGTAGTTTGTCACTCCTCGTTAATTGAGCTTGACTCTATTTTATAATATTATAGTGAATTTAATCATTGCGCCCGAAACTACGGCTCAAAGGACATCAAAAAGAATTCCGAATGAAATTAAAGAGTAACTCACCGCGTTTTATTTACAGTTTCTGACCCAGCTCCGGACAGTGGACAGATTCGTTTGGACGGTCGTATGCGGGAGGTCCGCTTTGTTGACGGAGTAGCCATAGCTGTTATGGACGAAGCTCCACCTAATTTCGTTCGCGCTCGTCAGATTATGTTTAAGGGCGGCAGTAGTAAAAAGATCCTCATCAATGAACATGTATGTATAGTGCCATGTAGAGTACGGATTTTTCAAAAATATTCAATTCAATGCAATATAGTGTGCTTGTTGCTTATATTCATTATTATATATATTCACATTGTCTATTCCAGCATCAAATAATGGCTGCCTTTGATGGTAGAGAACATGAGTTTACCTTGAATAATAATCGCCACAGGATTCGTTTTGGTGCACCACTTCGCGAACTCTATGTTGGTAAGTAATCATCGATTTTGTATACCTTACTGGTAATGATTTAGGTACTGTTGTTCTGCTTTTTTCATGAATAATTCCGTGTGACATGAAAGATTAATCACGAATTGGCAAGGCGAAATTCGTTTGCCTCCCTACAGTTAATCGTTATTCCAAAGAGAGAATATTTAATAAAACGAAGAAGATTCTAAAGAAAACAATAGCAAAAGATACTTTTTGTTGTACTTTTGTGAATAAATAAGCTTCCACTAGAGTTGCTCTTAACCTGATTTTTCTAATTTTTTTATACCCACTTCCCAGACGGCATTCCGTATTCATGTCAGTTCAACGGAGTTCCGGTATACATTCGTAGCCGTGAAGATGTGTTTTCCGTGACGCTGCATCCACCATGTCCGAGTGTCAACGACAAGATGGAAGCCCCTAAGGAACTGCTTGCCAAACTTGGATTGTTGCCTATGCCTCCGGATAGTTTAACGTTAGGTCCGGGTGGGTGTGTCGTCGGCATGCTTCCTCCTGGTGGCCAAGTACCTATAGCGCCGATCGGTGCCCCCATGGGGAGTGCACCGGCCCATCTGATGGGAGGACCAAGCACTGGGGTAAGTTTAGCTGTAGGGAGGGGGATCAAATACAGGGTAGCACAGAACACAGAGACGCAACAGGCAAAATATCTTAGTAAACCACGGAAGTCCATTAAAACCAGTATATGTTTTGTAACAAAAACAACTCAGCCAAACGAATACAAGCCTTTGACATTTTGCCTTTTGTGTCACTAATAGTAAAACTATATGTATTTATATATGTATATATATTATTAATGATGCAAAAGGCAAAATGACTAAAGTCAAACGAAACGATATGTATATCGTTAATATAATATATATGTATATATATATACACATATGTATGTATGTATGTATGTGTATATATATATATATTATTCTGCCCTAGGACTGGCTGCGCAGTAGTCTCACTTGAACGAAACGGTTAAATAGGCAGTATGTTTTTTGTCCCACATGTGTGTTGTCTTTGTAGTACAATTTGACTATTGCCGATCCGTGTGTGTTGTTAAGACCGAATTTCGCTACTTGGAAGTTATCAGGCTATTGAACGATATTGGCTCGGTTGTACTGTGGCATACCCTGTTCCCCCACTTCGCAGATATTGCCGATTTCTAACGTTCCATGACGATTATGGACAGAATTTTTTTTCAGCTAGGTAGTAAGAAAGTACGATATCAATTTTACGTATTTCTACCTTGCATGAATATGTATGGCAACAACAACAACAACAACAACAAGAAACGTATCGAGAAGCACTGCTTCGACGCCACTTGGTTCTGCGACCGAGTGACTATTATACGGTCCGCTGTAGTATGATGGGCAGCGATCATTAGTTGAATGCCAGTGTTCAGTGAGTTCTACACATCTGTCGACGACATCTGTGTGATTATTGAAATTACAAGGCTTAGGGAAGCTAAAAGAAATCAACCAAAGGAATGGTGGAGGCTCTATACAAAATACGTTTAGTCAAAAGAAACAGCTCACATAGTGAAAATGGTAAATGCCGTATTTCCTACTGGATGCCGCATTTATTCTCCATAACCATGATGAGCGTTGTGGAATATCTCCAAAGTGAAATGCAGCACAAGTGCAGTGCCTTTGGTGAATAAAACAAAATAAAGCCTCGTAATCGGTGCGAGATTGGCAGAGTTTTTATTTAGGCAGGTATTCAGGCAGACGTTCAGTGTAGGTAACAATAGAACCCAGTAGTTTGTAGCATGTACCTAACTGTTACTTTTAGATTTCATATACTACTTAATTGTGTAATAGGTAGTGCGCCAGAAAAAAAAACCTTGAGATGCTCGCTTTATTGGTTTCGTATTTATCTCAGAGCTAGAAAAATTGAACGTAGACAGATGTAGGGCAGAAATACTGCTTTGTTTGATTTTAGAAAGGTCTGTTGAACAGCCAATTACTATCACTTAATTTACTCACCTCTGATGGTAGATGTTAATCTATTGTCGTTGGACATAAGCAGAAATATATAACGCATGGCGGGGTACGATGTCAAATAGGAAGTATTCTGAAAAGCATTCAATACTACCTCACCTTGACTCTAAAATGCTTTTTGTGTGTATGTGTGTGCGGGAATCTTCCTTCTGTACAATGATCACCATTCATTAACTAAGTGATTTCGGGATATTATTGAAAGCCTGCTGTAGCCAGAAGTGACTCTCCGTGTTCCGGTCTCAGCGATCGTCATAGTTATACACCGTAATAAACAGAACGCTTATGATAGCAGTCTATGACTTGGTGTTTTTGATTCATTGGATTTATTCTTACGTAACCCATTATTCACGTAGTGTTTTTTTTTTTTTTTTATAGGGAGATACCTCCAATAGAATTTCTTATAAACTGTGTGCCAAGTAGTGTTTACTAACACTCACGCACATCCACATGCGAGCCACGCATTAGAAACAGGTACAAAGCCAAATAGTAATTATAACGCCATTATTTCTAGGAGTATACTTTGGCAAACTTTTAAACCAGGAAATGTTTTCATGCGGTTACATGATATTGATGCCACTTAACCGAACATAGCGAGTTGCAGGGCGAGTGGAACTCGAGTTTATCGTGGCCTTTTACAGAGGCTCGGACGATTGTGAAGGTGGAGTAAACGGAAAAGAGCCAATAGTTGCGCCAGAGTTGGCTCGGAAGACCGGTAGAGTGGAAATCACGGTGAAGCAAAGTGAAGCCGAAAAACATCGAAGCCAGCAGTGAAGAAAACGATAAACATAATTTTACACAATGACAGACATTTTAATACGATCCTCTTTACCTAGATAGAAATAGGCATGGCTGAGCCAGTTTTTTTGTCGGATAATTTCTCTTAGATACGCTTTGTAAATTTGAAGAATAGCCTTAACAAAACAGATTTTTACTGAACTAAATTAGAACTTAAGATGTTAATGCAAACCAATGAATACAAACAGCCTCGGTCTTGACCACAAACCGCTTTATTCTAGATAACAAGAAAACACAGTACAAGTTCATAGTGTGTGTATTCACTGTAACGAATTTTATCCATTAACATTTGTCTTGTATTACATTACCTGGGCGGCATATTTATTGCCCATTATGTATTAACATAACACCAGTATCACTTAAAATCCAAACATAAACTCAAGGAACGGATATGGGACACTTAGTATTTCATCTGGTCGTAAAATAGCAAAAGCAGTATCCACATATTAGACAAGGGCAGTAGCATTATTTAGAAATAAGAAAACGTTTCCGTTCTCCAGTGAGGTCTTTCCAGTGTACCCGTTTCAATTGTATTGGACTATTACCAAGCCATTTGATTGTTCTTATTGAGCAAACGCCTGAAACGAACAACTTGTTGTTTTCGCTTACAGGGATGGGTTCGATACCAAGATGATCGCATGAGCCCCGCACCTCATTTAGGACCTCCCGGACCGCCAGGCCCTCATCCACCGCCTGGAATGTATCCACCTCCCGGAATGCCCCATGGAATGGGGTACGTATATGCACGCTGAAAATATAAACGCGTTTTTATGCCAATGTTTATATTTTTAGTAGGTCTACGACTCATCGTAGTCTCTAAAGTCCTTGTCATTTTAATGACTTGTGCAATTCCTCTTCATAATCACATTGGTAATAGAGGTGATTGAGTCTGTGATTTGTCTAACACTATAGCTAGAAATAATGTGGCATATTATTCTGAAGGTGTAGATATCTGAGCTAACGTTATGGTTTGACTTCTTTTAGGCCACTACCTCCTCCTGGGAGTTTCGGACCGGGTCATCCCGGCCCTCCGGGAATGTTCGGTCCCCCGCCTCCATCGGCTATGGGTGGTCCAATGCCTGGACCACCAATGGGTCCGGGACCATACGGACCTATGGGCCCCCCAGGAATGATGCCCTACGGACAACAACCGCATCCGGGTATGCATGGCCATCCCCATATGATTGGGCCTGCTGGAGGAATACTCCGTCCTCCAATAGGCCCTCCCATGGGACCCCCTCGGCCGCAGGAACGCCGAATGCCAGCACCACCAAGTGTAGTGGCTCCAGTAACTGCCCCTGTCAGCCTAACTCCTGTTGCATCCGTTACTCCTGCTGTGCAACCGGTGAATGTGTCAGATCTGCTTAGCCAGTTGGTTAATTACGGTATTATTGGTGGTTCTTCAACAACATCAACTACTGAAAGCGTTCAAGGTTCAACAGATTCTTCAGAGAAAAAGCCCACTGGCAGCATTCTTAACCCTACAATCATAAAGGAAGAGATCCCCAAACTTAGCTTTAAACAAACTGACCAACTCAAGCAGTAAGTATATGCCTATTCACCACAAGTGTCATAAGAGGCATAACTGCACTAGGAAATAATGATATTAAATATGCATCTTTGCGTGTAATAGTTTAGCTGAGTTTGAAGTTTCCCTTGAAATGACATAGCAAGCTGTGCGGAAACCCGCACAATTAGAATTCCCTTAGTTGCCAAGTTAATGGCTTAAATCATTTCCAGGTATGGTTGTTGTAAGGTTGTGTACCCATTATGCTTCACAATAGTTGGTTTCGAAAGCTGATGTTTTAATTTCAATTTGCAGACGCTATGGAGGCGTGATTTCAGCTCTACATGATGGCCTTCAGTGTGCTACATGCGGGCAGCGCTTTAAGCAGGTTGACAAGAACTCTGATAAATATGCTCAACATCTTGACTGGCACTTTAGGTGAGTGAAACCAATGTGGTCGAATGAACTTTATTGATGCGCTGTAAGAAATCTATGTGTTTAGAGGAATTGCGAATTCAATGAGGGGAGCGCCTTCTAGATTATCCAATCCTGTATTTTCTTACTCTTATAAAACTTTACTTTGTATGTAAAATACCTATTAACAGTTATTGCAATAGGAAAAAAGATGCAAATACAAGCGGTTCTATTACATATGTAAAACAAGTGTTTGCGATTTTGTAGAATATTATAGCATATTGTTTCCGGTGACCTTTAGAATGTTTTTTTTTCTATTAGGATGGCTCGAAAGGAGCGAGAAGGATTGAAGAAGGCCTCATCAAGAAAGTGGTTCTACGATATTACGGACTGGGTTCAATTTGAGGAGGTTGAAGATATAGAAGATCGCGCGAGAAGCTACTTTGAACTACAGGTTTGTGTTATTACCACGTCTTAATTATGTTACGTTTATATTAGGATAGAATTACGTGTGTATCATCTACTAATGTCAAAAGGAATGTGCGATAGTTATAGGAATTAGCATGTACTTCACAATATCTATGTAATAGGAAAACTGTATGCAGTCTATGGCAGTAGACAGGAGACAGGCAAAAAATGATCTACCAGTTTTTTGATCAAAAAAAGTTCTTATAGGCTAGCTCGAATTTAGTTTTGCCCTTAGGAGGTGTAGGGATATGCTTTTATTATGCAAAAATTTCTTTCTTAAATGGTTCCCTAGGAAGCACAACATGATGCAACGAGCCAGGACAGCCAGGCACCTGTCGTACAAGAAGTTCCGTCAGTTCCAGCTAAAGTTATTGATCATGGTGACAATACGTGTGTGCTATGTCGGGAACCCTTCGCAAATTTCTTCTGTGAAGAAAACGAAGAATGGCGTTTGAAGAACGCAATTCTCTACGAGGGTCAGCTCTTCCATCCAGGATGCCACGAAGACTATTTAAAGGTGTGTGTGAATCTCTTCAGATACATTGTATAGTTTGAAACGCATGCTTTCTATTATCCTATGCTGCTTACTTTAGTATTTTATAGACCGCGTTTTTTAAAAGCAATTAATGTGATTATTCATTAAACATTCTAATAAAGAAAGAGCTTAAAGGAATGCGTAGAGCTTATTAAATAAAGAATATGAATATTCGAAGTTTATTTGCTGATATTTATCCGTATATTTTCACAGCCTGCACGAAAACCTAGTCCGGAGGTCAAAGAAGAGCCGGAGGATGACCAAAGCGAAGTGAACAAGGACGTCATCAGTGAAAGCGAGAAAAAAATGGACATTGAGGAGCAACGGCTAGAAGGAATTGACGACGGAAGTCAACCTTTGCCAGGACTCGACTTTGCGCCAACATCGGAAGAATTGCCTTCAAATAAAGTCAAAACAGATACGGCTGAGCAGACTGTAAGTGAGGAAGCGGTAAAATCTGAACCCAAAGGTGAAACAGAAAAATCTACAGAGAATGAGGAGCCCATGGAAGAGGATTTGAATGATACAGTACGGGCAGCCGAGCAGTCCGTAGTAGTTGAGGAGCTAGGGGAGTTTGGCGTAGACAACCTTCCTCCATCCGTTGAACATGGCTATGACCTCAAGGACGAAGAAAAGAGTCAGGATTCCTCTGTTGGTGTTGAAGGCCTTTCTGAGGAGGCAAAAAAACAGCAACATGAGTCGTGTGAGCATCAGGAACAGGCAGACACTATTGCGAAACAGGACAGCCCTCAAAATCAGTTTGATGAGTCAGCAGATCATTCTACAACTAGTAAGCTGAAGGTGTTCAAAGGTTCCGGAGGGTTTATCCTCAAGGTCAAACAGGAAACAATGACAAATGGTGGTGACGCAAGGGGTGGGGTTTCGCAGGAGAAGAGCTCACAAGACAGTGGCGTTGGTCTTGAAGAACATGAAGACTACGGACAGAACGACGATGATGAGGAATGGGTCCCACCTCAACCTGACCCAGCTTTCAAGAATTTGCCAATGGTTAAGCGTGGGGCCGAGGAGAGTGGCCTGTGTAGTATAATGTAAACATTACAAAGACGTTGTTAGATAAACTAACATATATATGTATAGAAGTCTATGTGATAGCTATGAGACTATAAGGAAAAGAAAGGGCAGCAATGGGGCGTACAATCATAGGTCGACATTTTTTCAATCCAAGGAGAGTCCTATTAGAACTTAAATTGACCACCATAATTTCAGTCTATCTGCCAGCAATCAGAATATAGCATAGCCTCTTCCACACTAAATTAGAGCGAGTAATTGCTAATTGTAGTTTTCTGATTGTTTGGTTTTACGTTGTTATACTGTACTAGACGACGTGAACGCCATTGAAAGCGTTTGTTTGCCTCGCGAATTCTTAGCGGCAAAAAAATTTTTGAACACTTCTCTGCCTACGAGTTAAATGCGTCATATAAGTGTGACGACACCATATTGTTTGGTGCAATTTGTGATTAGAAACAGCAGCGAGAGGTTTAGCTTGTTTATTTGATATTAAGACCGCAAGAGGCATGACGATGTTGCCAAACCTTACTGCCCATGTTTGTATGTGCGTGTGTAAATATAACAACAATGTATCGGCATGATGAATTGCTTGGGTCGCTGTTGAGAGAGATACTGAACGACACTTGTGACGTTTCTAAGTGATTGCGGGTAGTAGCTGTAAAAGTGAAAAGGAACATTGTCACAAAGTACAGTTAGGTTCGTCCCTCGCTTTAACGATTGTATATAACGTATGAGAAGAGAATGACGAATATTTTGAGTATTTATATTTCTTGCTATGTTGTAGCAGGCAAAAGCTGTATGTAAAATGAAGTGAGACAAGGAAGCAGCAGAGAGCTACCATAGACATACGCGCGTAAAGTGAATCAATCAATCAATTTCTTGCGACTTGCATGTAGTGCATAGTCGGTATTTTCGTACTGCTCTGATGATATCCGATTCACATAAGTTCACAAATTCAATTACCTTGCTGACGTTTTCACATGTAGGCATCGGGTTTTGTATGTATACAATAAGAAAGAGAAACATGAACAGGAATAGACATAAGGATTACTACTACAGAAAAAGTGGAAACACTCGGATAAAGCTTAGAGAAGTTTTTCATTAAGCCAAACATAAACATCTACTGGGTATGTTTCCACAGTTTCTAGTGATCTAGATATTCAACGATCTCATGCCGAACTTCGTGTTCGAGCAAAGTGACGGGCAAATTGGAATTGTTTGATCAGGTAACCTCAGGTGACAAATGTTCCAATTCTAATTCGGTGATTTAATGTTGTTGCGTTGTTGAAATGCCAAGATGACATGACAGGATTAAGTTGTTATGAATAGAAGTAACTGAAAAAAATAAAAAAAATACCAAAAAAAAACGTTTAAGAAACGAACTTAGCTCTAAAGGCTAAATACGCCAGTGTATACTTTTGATATTAAGGATTACATAGGTATGACTAAAGGAATGCTGAACCATTTAGAATTATGCATTTATGAATATTCAATTATCCGATTATTGAAACTGAAAGCATGAAATTTGTCCATAAAAATACCAAAACTGGGTTAAAAAAATTAAAACAATACGGGCATTAATATCACACGCTTACATGAAACTTATCAACGTCTAACGCACTAGTTAGTAGCTATATGACAGGTACTACACGCGAATTCAAGGTAACGGATACAAAGGTTCAACGCGTTGTCCGAGATCGTAGGATGGCAAATTTGCTCAATTCAAAAGACGGAGTAGAGCAAGATAAAGGAGCATCTGCTGTACGAAGACATATTTAAGCAAATAAATCGATAAATTACATAAAATAATTGCGTCATCATTTTTTTACAGTTCTGGGATGAGAAATACTATATAATCTATGATATATGTGTATATATATACAATATTGATATATATATAATGGGAGATATTGGACTGTCCCAGAAGTTTATAGTAGATTTTGAATCGATTTACGCTTTGGCAGCACAGACAGCAGAGACAGAAAGGGAAAAAAAGCAGTTTTTCGCTTTATCTGTAGAATTTCATTCCGGCCTTCTCTTGGCGTTGTGCTTTTAATTGCACCTTTCACTTAAATTCTACAATTCCACAGATGTAAAAAAAATTATGGTCTGTTTTAAAGCTTTGTTTTTGGAATTGGTTGAGTGCGATTCAAAGTTGTGAAAGCATTTGTATACTCTACAGCCGACCGCACGGTGCGGGGGTGGTTCACTCGATTTCAGGGCGGTGACTTCGGCATCTAAGCCAAGGCCTGTGCAGGTTGACGCTTTGACTATAAGTATGCTAAGATTTTCACCGTGTCCACGTGTGAATTTTCACTAAATTGTAGTAGACATAGGGACAACCAAAATGATCGTTTGAAGATATATAACAAATAACGGTTCCAGTCGGGAAAAAATCTGGGTTTCTCACGATTTGATCGATCACCAACTAACAAACCGTGTATATATTGCCAAACAGCTTCTAAAATTAAGCGAAGAGTTAGTAACTATAACATGTGTAGCCGACTTGAAATGTTTTTTATGCAGCCCATAGCAGCATTAGATTACAAAAATAAATCACATCTAGAATGTTTCATATTGAGCCATAAGCTTGGAGTTTTGCATCCTTTTGACGCTATTCGGACTACGATTCAGGAATGTAGCTTTTCCCAAAAAACATGATTCTAGACATGCCTTGAGCTAGCATACATTAACATCCACGCCCCTTTATACTAAGAATATACTGGTTTCTGATTTGTGCTACAAACTGCTTCGGGCGGCCTGCGTCAGAAACAATGGACATAGAATTACTTTGATAGCATTTACACAAACATTGTTAATGTCAGAGAAATTGAAGATTGAAACATTAGTCATACAGAGGAGATACAAAATAAATAAATAAAAGGAAAAAGATGTGATGTCCTTGATTAAGCATAACCTTATATGTATCTCTGAGAATATTGTCTAATTTTAAGGGATCCTAAAAAACGGTTCCAAGTGATTTTAGGAACTGATCACATACCAGTAATTCATATAAGACAGACAGATTTAACATATGCTTGGAGGAATTAGAAGCTCACGCGTATTTGGACTATTCGGCAAATACTCTGAAAAATAACTGTTTACGTCGAACACACCTCATGAGTTCGTTTTTACTTGAGTCAGGTGTTGATAAAACATACAGCTTTTAGCTTCCTACCGAGATAGATCTTTTTTATGTTTTTTGCATTACTAGCCCTTATAACCCTCTCTACTCTTCGCAAACCGTACAGCGCCGAGTAATATCGCATAGTTGATTTGAAGAACTTAAAAAAAATTATTATTATTTTGTATATGTTCCTTCCGAACACATAAATTTCAGGCAACGACCACTATTTTCCGTTCATTTTCCAGATTCGACATTCCCTGCTTGGTCGTGAAAATGTTATCCTTTTTATTTGGATGAGGCATACTTGTTCCATACGCTCTTATTCACTCACCGATACATTACCTTTTTGGTGAGCTTTCACATTGAAAATTGTCTAAATTTAGCTCTTTCATTCCGCATGAACGTACATACCACAAAAACAAAATTGTGTGGCCAACCTTTATTGCTACAGAACGCTAAAAGTACATACCGAGGAAGAATATTTAACTTTAGCAGGCGTGCGTTGTTTTTTTAAATATTCTCATCATTTACACGAAAGTATTGATAATATGCTACACCTTTACATGTTGCACAGAGCACGATGAAGAAAAGAAAACTACAACATGTATTCCCCATCACCAGTATTGAAAATATCGCCTGTTAATGTTACCCCCTTTTTCGAGTCTGATATGTATCGATATGATGACAGAAAGTGAGTTTATTTTCATATATCTTGGCTCTTACAAAGTGCTGTCGACTCCTTATGTTTTGTGACAGTAGCAGGAGGGGCTCCAACGTTTTACATGTGTGTTGCTTGTTTTTGCACCGTGGTTAGTGAATCATGAGCTAAAGGCCGTCACACAAGGATTAAGAGTTTTCTTTTACTAAAAGGGAAAAAGAATAAAGACGATGCGAGACCTCGTCTAGGACGTTGAAAATTGCTTCAAATACACGTATTTTAATTCTTACTTGGCTTACCAAAAAATGGATAGTACGCTGTCGCTATCACCAAAGTAATTTGTTACTACTTAAAAGCTGTGAGTCCACACCTTATCGCCCTAGCAGATCGTAATATGAATGAAACGATTGACTTGAAAAAAATAACTGTTTTTTTCGAATTATTCGATAACTTGGTACTAGTTTCGTGGATCTGGAAAACCCACTATATGTTAAAATTTGGCAGCGTTTTGAGACAATCAGCGAGGCGAAGTTCGTATAGGCTAGTTGCAAGTAAGAATCTAACTAACAATGTAAATTAAATGATAGTGGGAACAACCATGGTACCGAAAAAATGCTTTGAGTGATATAAAGAAATATTACAGATTCAAGCATGACAATATAGTATCAAAATACTATAGAATCCCCTCGCCTTAGAATCACAATCTTTTTACTCTCGAATTACGACCTATGTATCATTTGGCTTAAGAATTGATGTGACTTAAATTTGAACTGTAAATGGTGAAATAGTATTTATTCACTTGGTTTATATGTAAAGTACTAAAATGTAAATGGAAACGCGTGAACGCGACGTAAAAAATGAGTTTCCTTTAAATTCGGAAGATATCTTAACCGAATGAAATTGGGGAAGTTCGGAGAAAATGGTTGATCTAACCTGAAGAAAACATTAAACCATTGTCTCATCTAAACTAAGATGCGAAAAGATCATTTTGTAATAATGCTTGTGATGCACCTGTCTGTAATATCAGTATGAGGGAGCTGTACAAGAAATTGCTCAGGCATAAAATCCTTCAACATTTGTTACGAGAAGTAAGTCCCCTAATAACGTTTTCGATCATTTTTATCACTTCTTAACATCTCGATTTAAGCAATTCATATATAGATCAAGTAGTAGTATAGATCAAGAATTGTCCTTATGCTTTATTTTTAAAACTCTATCTAAGTCAAAACAGTTACCTCAGTTTCTTCGCACATTTTAGTAATGTCATTTTTGGCGATCATGTTTAAATCAATAGAACTACCATCCACCGCTATTACAGCTTAATTCGGGGGTTAAACTAGTTTTCAAATATCCTTTTTTATCCAAAAAATAACCTTTTAATAGTAACGGTAAGAATGCCCGAAAAGACTGCACCTTAAAGCTTATTTAAACGATCCAATCTAATAATTAATATTTACCTGTATAAAAGCTTCATTTTTTAATTCTAAAGATCTAAATGGATTAAAAATGTCTCTTAAATGTTAACGAATATTTAGGATCTTTAAATTTACAACCTATGGAAGGTCTTGCCATTCGCTTCATTAAAGTTTTCTCGGATTTTCAGCATGAGAACTGACATTAATACAGATCGTTAATTTTGCATACAAAAAGCTTTGAAGAAGCAGGGGCTCGTTCAACGCAAAATGATGGGAGTATAACTGATCTTCGTTCAAATTTCAAAAGCGATGCACTGTGCTTCGCCATGATAAATGCGTTGTTTTTAGCTTTCTTCCGGTACCATGAATGGCGAGTAAACGCACCATCCTATTTATATTTACACTCGTGCCCTTCACTTTGATACTAAGAACATCTACTTGGAAACCAACTTGTTTCCAAATAGAACTTTTCATTGCTTCATATAAATGAGCTAGAAACAGTAGCTTCGTACGTTCCAAAACAAGGTACAATACCAATGTATGATAATCTTGTACCAATAAACAAATTTTTGAATTATACGACTTCAATGCCTAATTCATTTGGTCTTCTGTGATAAATGTAATATACCAAAAAATCGAGCGGATCTCAAATCTTTTCGTACTTTTCGAAATAATTAAACGATCTGCGAATTTTACTGGCGGCAGAAAAGAAAGCGATTACATTGAATAAAGATGAGATTTAAAACAGTACCTTGCGGAAAATTTGTCCGAACCAATTTTAACGGTTAAATTGCCAAGAAACGTAAATTGATAGTATAACTTGTAATAATTTCATGGCAAATTCGACTATATTTATCAGCTGTTCATTAATTGTGCTTATTTATGCTGTCTTTAATCTATAAATCAATATTTTATTAATTATTAATAAGAGATTAAGATAAATTAAGATATGTACCCTCGCATAATCGCTTGCACACTAGCATTGGGTTTATGTTGTCGTCCCTGCTAAATTAGGTTTTTAATCTATAGTTTTTTCCGGCCTATTTTGCTTTCATTTGTTATATATGTGCGCGGGACCCTCGGAGTGTTTTTCTGTTCCTCCCGGAAGGTCTATATGAAGCCATATGTGGTTTCAGGTGAGACGTTCATGTACGCATTCGACACGCATTGAGATTTTCGGTGTGCCGCAGAACACGATCCCATATATTAATGAACCTACGCGTTACTCGACTTTATTCAGTATACGAAGACTTTTCACGTTCTCTAGTACTAACGTTAACAAAACGCACCTCTCAGTTTGGCCTTTTACCATCTCGGAAATACTCCGGAGCAGTTACTAGAACGAGGTTGCAAAGTCGAACTTTCATAATAATTATACCTGCACATAAGAATAGTGCGCGCGTTATTGATTCCTTGCGTGATAAAATTGCAAGGATTTTTTTGTGTATTCACACGCCCACGCACGCTGAGTACAGTGATTTTGTTACCGCACTTTTCTAGCCAATAATTCCTCATTCATCTGATCAATAAAATAACAAGACATTTTGTTTCCATTAAGTTGGACCTCTTTTTTTATTGGCAGATTTAATGGG